TTGAAAAGCTACTGCGTGTCACAGTTCGCAGGTTTCCAGCGGTCGAAACTTAAGAAAGTCACTTTAGAAAATAGAAACTTAAATTTTTTTGACCGACGTGTGTTTTCCATAGCTTAGAAACTTTTGTACTTTTTAATCAAACGTTAGATAATTTTTGGACATACCATGACTTGGCGAATTAAATATAGCTGAATATCTCACTTATCATATTTTGTGTAAGAAAATATAGAAAAAGCGTTTTAAAAAATTATATTAAAAGTCAGATTTTCTTATTATTGATATAACGTTGGGTATGCTAACTTACCGCGTAATCATTACGAAAGGGAACCAAATTTTCATTAAACAGAAGAAAAATATGCTGAAAATTTTTAAAGCATCAAAAGGTTCAATCTATTTTAGTCGATTTTTTTAAACACGGTCTTTAAAAAGTATGCGTGGAAGAGATTTTCCCATTATTTTTTGTTTTAAAAGTTGTTAAAAGTTCCGTGGGTAACAAGGCGGGTTAAAGAGCTGCAAACAGCCGAATCTATACCAAGGACTATGGTGGGGTTATCTGAGGCTGACACAACCCTAATTGTTCTCGAACCACCTCCGTATTTGGGATGGATGGCAATTTGTGATACTTAGAAATAATTGCAGACGGCCGAGGTGTGCCCGGATCATTAAACTGGTTAATGCCTGAAATAAGTAAGTATACGCTTTCTTCGGGACGTAATGCAACAATTCTTTCGGTTTTCCTTCAAAACCGAGCTAGGAAGCAGTTACCCAATTCACATCGGGTAGCATTCAAAGTTTTTCGGCTTAATTGAAGGATCGAGAGTTTATAATTTTTTTCACAATTGTTTCGTGATATGTCTATTCTTACATGTTATTTTGGGAGTTAAGTGAATTAAACCGAGTCAACAATCGTCCAGCGAGGCGTGATTTTATAATTTAAGTAATAGTCACTACTCCTACTCTAATAGGTTTTTCTTCCCTAGATTAAAACTGAATAGTGACATTTCAGTTACTAGGGGGCAATCAATAAGTAATAAGATACAAATTAAAGCTCTGTTTGTAGGATGTTAGAACGATATTCGTGCAAGATGTTTCGAAAACAGTGAGACGTGCATCTTGAATGCGGCTCGCCCTCTGTTATTAACGTTACCGATGTCAAAATTCCAGTATCAAAATAAGACGTAATTAGTGTGTTTTGTGTGTAAGGTATTTATATCCTAATAGACACCGTGGGTTTGAAAAAATCTCGTTTTATTTGTGCTCTGGAACAGGATAGACAATCGGAACACGCCTTGGATTTTTTGTGATCTTTATTTTTCACTTTCACCTTAACCGAACTTAGATATATTAGCTTGTACTAGCTCCGTTTGAAAATCAGTTTATCGGAACGATCTTTTTTGTCCTTTCCCTTGTTTGGAGGTCGTTAATTCAGAGGTTTATAAAACAAGAAATAAAGTTTCGTCTTGCACTCCATTTTGAATTCGCCCAGAAATCACGATTTTAATCACGCGATTTAAAAAAAGCTGAAATCTAGAAGAAAACGCCAAAACTCTCTAGAAGAGTCGTTTATTTGAAAAACGGTCTTGTAAACCAGCAATTATGATGCTTTATATTCCCGGGATACGATGAGACAGCAGGCTTTTTCTCCGCTGAACCGAAAAGACCGGCCGTCGTTAGCCGTTAACTATGTTCCTCCTGGATTTACAGAGCTAATTTGAACCGAGTTTAATCGAATGGTGACCGGCAAGTTTCACTTTTTGTACTGCTTTAATAGGAAATAATGTATACCGAATTGCTTACCGGACTAATGAAGACTTCCGATCCAAAATACTATCCGACCGACCGTTTCTGTTTATGTATATGTATAACAAGATTAATTTTTTTTTTACGAGGGTTCGCAACAGCAGAGGTCATATGCCTTCAAGGTGCCGGTGTTTTTGAAAAAAAGCCCATTTGTAAGTATGTCGGGTTCGAATGCTGAGCCGCTGGATTCGAACCCGGGACCTTTACCTTACAGTGATGAGCGCCGTGTCAACGTCTAAACCGTTGCGGCCACCGACGCCCCGAAGACTAATATTAAAAACTGCCTTTTAACTGATTTGCCGAACATGTTAACAAAATACAATTGATTTGTAAAATCTTTTTTTCTTTATTATTATTTTCTGAATAATTTAGTCAATGCTTTGCTCTTGTGCGTTTTTGAATTTTTTTCATCTAGTTGTACTGCTTTAATAGGAAATAATGTATACCGAATTGCCTACCGGACTAATGAAGACTTCCGATCAAAAATACGGTCCTACCGACCGTTTCTGCTTATGTATGTGTATAACAAGACTTTTTTTTCTTTTTTTTTACGAGGGTTCGCAACAGCAGAGGTTATATCAACCCTCGGGGTGCCGGTGTTTTTGAAAAAAAGCCCATTTGTAAGTATGTCGGGTTCGAATGCAGGGCCGCTGGATTCGAACCCTGGACCTTTACCTTACAGTGATGAGCGCCGTGTCAACGTCTAAACCGTTGCGGCCACCGACGCCCCCAAGACTAATATTAAAAACTGCCTTTTAACTGATTTGCCGAACGTTAACAAAATATAATGGATTTGTAAAATCTTTATTATTCTTTTCTGAATAATTTAGTCATTGCTTTGCTCTTGTGCGTTTTTGAATTTTGTTTATTCTTCTAGACCAGTGGTTCCTGACTTTTTTGACCCATGGACCCTTTTTTATAATCAAAACTTACCCACGGACCCCCAAGTAAAAATGCTACATAAATGCATAGTATAAAAATTACAAAGTTAAAAAAACGAAGAAGTATTTATTGAAATTATAACTTTTGTTAAAAAAAGTCTTGATGAACGTGATGAGATGTTAAGAGTGTATTTATGTCCGGGCTCAATGATTGTGAGTAGCAACCGCAAATCCCCACTAGCACTAATTTCTAGTCGGTTTATTTTTTTGTGATGAGGTTCATAACGGCACTGAATCCATGTTCTACTAAATAGGAAGACATTAAAGCAGTCAACAACTTCTGCAGGATATAACCCACAATGCAGGATATAAAATTGGGATCTGTTTTTGTAACGTTCTGTTTAAAGAAAATCCAATTATCTCACTTATAGCTGGTAAATTAATTTCTTCACCAATAGTGTTCGGCTTTCCGGACTTAGCAATTAATAAAGAAATGTTATAAGAAGAACGCAGTCCATCATCTCGCTTAGAAGTTGCCCCTATGAGTTGTTGCAGTGTCGGTATTTTCAAATATTTTTCTTTGACTCTGAAAAAACGATTATTCGGAGATCGTGAGATGCGGTCTGGTGTGACGTAGGTTTTAGAAAAACATTTTCTTTATCGTGCCAACGTTTCGATCTTTATTGAGATCATCTTCAGGGCTCAAATTGTTTGTTTTCCGTGTAGAAATCTAAAATTTTCTAGCATTGTATAAATTCATTTTTTTCATATCCTAAATTTATTTGTATAATTTCAACCGTGTTTATAAATCCCAGGCCCTGAAGATGATCTCAATAAAGATCGAAACGTTGGCACGATAAAGAAAATGTTTTTCTAAAACCTACGTCACACCAGATCTCATCTCACGATCTCCAAATAATCATTTTTCTTATTCGTTACCAATACGATTACAGTTACAAGTTACGGCAGTTACTGCCTATCTTATCAGTTCTCTTACTCGTTACCGAGTACTAAAATACTGCTAATTTCCATAATAATAAAAATGAATCACAATTTTATTATTTTATATTAAACCATGCGCAGACCACCTGACGTTGTTCAGGGACCCAAAAATCAATTTTAATTTTCCACGGACCCCCTGAACGATTCCCTGGGGGTCCGTAGGGACCACTTTAGGAAACACTGATCTAGAGTAACAAAGATCCAGATTATTCGTGAGTAAAAAAGTGGATACATCTAACACTGACCGGTGTATACGATGACCGGGGGGTGCAATACCTCTAGAGGGGTATAACCAATCATTATATTTTCCCAAGTGTGATAAATCAAATCGAAAACATAAAATGCAATTTATATCGTACATTGTCCCATTTGATTTGATCTGTTAAGGAATTAAATTAATGACCCAAAATTAGCAGATCATTTATCATATGTTATGATTGATTTTTTGCAGTAGTGATGTATCAGATGAGTGGTATTCAACTGTGTGAGTCATACCTGTCAGTCTATAATTCAAACGATTTTATAAGGACGCTTACTATTGCGTTCTGTCATTTTCGTTACGAATTGATTTGAATCATTAAAATAATATGACAGGTTGACAAATTAAACATTACACAAAACTGTATGGCTATAAAATCCAGAAATGATTCTTCTAAAGGTTTCGTGATTATCTTCAGTAACACTGAGACGGTTCTTACCGTACGAAAGAAAAATAAATAAATTTATAAAAATATAATGGAAGGGTTTTCATCTAAAGAGTGCTGATTTAATTCACAATGTTAGACGAACACAATCATAAACAACATTTAACAAACGTCGTCCTGTCACGTTATTGCAGCCTGAGCGAAATATGAAACGAGACGTTGTGGTTAACACCAATATTTACATGTAACTGTAGACATGCAACAGAAGAGAGAAAAAAAAGATTCGAGGAGATTTGGAGGATTAATGTCCGAAAGCGTTGACGAGAACGATGCCAGAAATCTCCGTTGTATCTCCCACGCAAATTTCCCTGTTTATTCGGTGGCAGTATTCCATCGGTAACTGTCTCGCACATATTTCAACTTTCTATATGTTAATTTAATTCTTATCCTGGTTTTTCGTCCATTTCCCATAAATGGCCCAACCTCGTCATGATTGATGTGACCGCAACGAGTTAGATAACTATATCTCAATCGTATGAGAAGGATCTGGTGGATATTTACTAGTGCTTCCAGTAATTTATTGTTTGAACAATAACTGAAGTTCAACGATTACCCCCCAATGAATCTTCTGTTTATGGAATAAAAGAGTAATGATTGCAGAACGTCTACTAACCTTGACATCTTTGAATGTCGGTGCGACTTGATCGGTCGTAAAGGTTGTGTTTGCCGGGGACGGTTTGTTCTTGACACTGGGAAAGATGACTCCCCTGTTTCTCGTGGAGATTTTTGCTTGCTTGGAGACGAAGGAAGATGACCCTTGGTTGGTGATCGTCTGGGTGGAGGTCGTAGCCGGCGAGCTGCTGGTCACTGGTGTAGGAGTCGTAAACGTGACTACAGACGGGCCTTGTTCGGTAACCTCGTCTTGTTCTACGCTATATCTGTTCTGGTCGTATTCGACGAGCCTGTCGATCGTGGGGTCGAGAAGGAGTTCGGCCGGGACGGGTCTCTGTGCGAGGGTGACTACGTCCTCTTCTTGTTTCTTCAGTCTTTTCTCTACCATATCGAGGTTGGCGATGATTTTGTTCGTGTTGGTTCTGAGGTCGGCGTGGATGTCGTTGATAGCGCGCTCTTGCCTCTGAGTCTGCGTCAGAAGCTCGTCCGATTTCGGCACTAAATCATCGACGGAACTCTTAGTGCCGACGACCACGTTCCAAACCTCGTCCATTTTGTTGGATACGCTCAACATCGGATGCATCTGCCTCACCAGTCTGTCTAATTTCGAGTTTTTGGCCGAGTTCGGGCCCGGAGTGGACGTCCTGTTCCTGAACGGTTGAGGGTGGGCGGACTGAACGGCGATAGGCTCGACGATAGCGTCGTGGACGTCCGTCATCATCGTGAGCATTTTGCCTAAACTCTCTGAAACGACGTTAATGTGAAACTGAAGCTTTCTGTCGAGGTTGGCCGTGTTGCTCCTGAGCGTCTCGAGTTCTCCGTTGAGAACTTTGGTCACATCCAGGGCTGTGAGGCTGACCGGTTTCTTTTCGCTAGCTTCCGCGTTGATGTCATCAGCGGGAAGGAAATTGGTGTCGAGTTGATTTTTCAATCCGTTTAATTTTAGATCGATATCCGATACCTTTTGATCTAAAGAAACTAACCGCATATCGAGTTTGTTGTCTGCCAAAGGCGACAGGGGTTTGACTAATTTCGAGTCTAACGACCTGAGATTGTTGATTATCGACTCGGTCTTATCAATATTATCATTTATCCGAGAATCTAACGCCTCCACTCTCCGCATTAAATGTTCTACCGCTCGATCTAGATTCTCTATCCGTTGTAACTTCGTTTCTAACGTCGAGACGATGACTTCGAATACGTTAAACAAATACTGCTCCCTGAAACAAACAAAATGAAACATTTATAAAAACAGTGTTTGGTATGGGTACATTGCAAAATTAACAGATAAACGTTGCAAAGCGATGAAATCATCATTAATTAATTCTTACAAAATTAAATCTGAACACAGGTTTGTGTGTTGTTTATCAATAAGAGTATAGAGAATCGTTTAGTATAAGTATTTAACGCCTTTTTGAATTAATTGAAGCTATATCGCCGGTGCTCATTTTATTCTCATCACCTCTCAATGAAAGGGAGATAAACTTGCTCAGATTTATGTAATTACCATGTACAATACTCCTATATGACTCATATGTGTTTGATTACTTATATTTAACACGTCATGAGTAATAGCTCAAAAATCTATTTTAATGTTGACCTTTTTTTGTAATTTTAATGATTATTTACTAATAATTTTCTTTTGACTGTTTCATTTTTGAGCCTATTGAAACAGCATTTGTAATAAATAAATAATTAAATATATTGAAATCTACGTATGCCAAAATCGTTCCATGGTTAGTCGCAACACAATATTGCAGCCTACACTACAGGCCAAGACACGCCAATGCATTGGTCACCAAGATGGACATCATGCCACGCTGGCCATGGGCTTGCCTACTCACACTGGGATAATAGAAGGCCAAGATTTGGGCCAGCCTCAAAGGTCTATAGTTCCTTACTTTTCCAGTGCCGTGATGGATACCGAGGTCGAGGAAATCGCTGCTGCAGCTTTCTGTTTGGCTAGAGTGTATAACTGCTATTTACATGTTACTAGCAGAACCTGGTAGGAAACAACGAACAATGTTGGTCCGGTGTGTGGACACCTTGTTGGCACTTTTGTTCGCGCATATTGGCCTCTTTTGATGCTTGTGCTCCCAAAGCCAATGTTCCCCAACACCATTTCCAACCTTTGCCAATATGGGTCACTACAGGCCTCTCCCTCTACACAGTGGCCAGATTGTGTTGGGCCAATGTTGTAGTACCATGGTGACGAGAGGCCTTACACGAAGGTTTGGATGTACCATTCGTACGAATCGTCATAGAATAATCATATCAAAAATTCAATGGAAATATACAGGAGCACTGACTACCATAGCACCAACCAGAAACCAGCCACCATATCTTCGAAATGGAATTTTCAATATATTATTATAACATTAAATTTTACATTGTATTTCCATTTTTGTTTTAAATTTCAATCGAATCGGCATGCTTTGAAATGGTGGTTTTGCTCTATAAAGAATAAAAACACTAGTTTCATAATAAATTTAGAAAACATAAAAAAAGAAAAGTGGTTGGAATCTTTTGAAAAGTTCTTGCAAGTAATTGTGTTCGGAATCGTCACTATATAATAGAAAGGTTTCTCTCGACATAGCGTTTTATAATCTGGAGATTAATTTTAATTCTCCAAAAGGTCGATTTATTACAGCGAAAGTAATCTTTTGTAAAACCGAGTTTCAGCTTTTATTAAGGGTTCCCGACGGGAGATAAAACAAACAATTACGTCTTCCGAGTGACATAGGATGTAAATAGTTCGGTTTCACTTTTCTGTCTGATCTTTTGTATTTTCCTATGATTTTAGTTACGTAATAGTTAGCACCAGAAATTTTTTTACACATGGTGCTCCTTACGACACACTCAAATCACTTTTCACTATTGAACGGCTGTTAGAGCAGTTGTCAGGGAGGGTCTAAAGCGGGTCATTGTCGGATTTTCTCTTGGGCCTGCTAGTTGATGTACTTCATCATCCCGGTCTGCCTATCCTCGCTGTTTTGCGCGGTAAAACAGCCATTTATATTATTCAGCTCGGAAAAAATTTCACTTGTTTTAAATTTTCGCGAGTAGGCGTGAGGTCGATGACCACGTCAAAGGCATATGGCATGTTGGTCAATGGTCAAGGAGTTGCGCAAGAATCCTCAGACGAGGAGGGCCGTAGAGGGGCTCGGGCAACTTTCATTCACAACACTTCCTCCTGGGTCTGGATAATTCTGAAGTCGGTCCGTTTAAACAAATAAGGAACACAAACGGGAACACCCTTTTCGTCGGCGGAAACGTCGTGTTCCAAGGATTTTATGTGGGATATTTTTTGTTCGGACAAATAAATCGAAGCCTGGGCATGTATATCCCAGAGGAAGAATGTCGAAGAAAAGGTAGATTTACTACCAGACGGATCATTCATTCCGTATTCAAACGTTTGTCATTTATTTTTTTTACAATTGTAGGCAATTACTATTTCCTATATCAGTAATATAAAAAATATACTGCTTGAAATTGTAGGAGAATTAGACAAAAAGTGTCAGCTGTTTAAACCTTAAAATGTTTCCAGTTAAGTGCAGTAAAGTTAAGTAACAGTTTTTTTACAGACACTGAAATTTGAATTAACCAAATTAAGAGGATATAAAATCCAGGACAATTGAACTGCTAATAACACAAATCCTATTAATAATTACATGAAGAATTTTTTTATACCACAACTTTCTTTTTTGATGGACGTAGTGCTAAGACCTTACAGCCATCAACTCCTCTCCCACCCAAAAATGCGAGAAATAGAAAAAAAATAATATATTATAGTCTGCCTACTGCTATTGCATTTTAATGACGTCAAATGATACCTGATATACTGCTTACATCTATTTCATTTTTATGACGTCAAAGGTACATGATAGTCCGCCAACTGCTACCTCATTTTTATGACCTCAACTGATACCTGATATTCTGCCTATTACTATTTCATTTTTGTGACGTCAAAGGTACATGATAGACCGGCAACTGCTACTTCATTTTTATGACGTCAAAGGTACAAGATAGTCCGCCAACTGCTACCTCATTTTTATGACGTCAAATGACACCTGATATTCTGCCTATTGCTACTTCATTTTTGTGACGTCAAAGGTACATGATAGACCGCCAACTGCTACTTCATTTTTATGACATCAAATGGCACCTGATATTCTGCCTACTACGACTTCATTTTTATGACGTCAAATGACACCTGATATTCTGCCTACTACTTCTTCATTTTTATGACGTCAAAGGTACATGATAGTCCGCCAACTGCTACTTCATTTTTATGACGTCAAATGACACCTGATATTCTGCCTACTACTACTTCATTTTTATGACGTCAAAGGTATGATAATCCGCCAACTGCTACCTCATTTTTATGACTTCAAATGGCACCTGATATTCTGCCTATTGCTACTTCATTTTTATGACGTCAAAGGTATGATAATCCGCCAACTGCTACTTCATTTTTATGACCTCAAATGATACCTGATATTCTGCCTACTACTACGTCATTTTTATGACGTCAAAGGTACATGATAATTCGCGAACTGCTACCTCATTTTTTCGACGTCAATTGATACATGATATTCTGCCCAATGCTACCTCATTTTTATGACGTCAAAGGTACATGATAGTACGCAAAATGCTACCTCATTTTTATGACGTCAAATGACACCTGATATTCTGCCTATTGCTACTTCATTTTTATGACGTCAAAGGAACATGATAATCTGCCCACTGGTGCAGTTTTTTGTCTTTACAGAAAGTCTATTACAATGTGGAAAATAAATACTAATAAGAGTTTATTTGCAAATAAGCTAAACCTGGAATCTATATTGTTCATGGTAGGTATGCATATATATTTTTTAATATAAATGTGTGAGTTTTAAGCAGAACCCTATGCCGATTCAACATGTGCTGGAACTTTAAAGACTAAAACAACATATGATTAAGGTGCTACATTTTAGTCCAGTCCTAAAAAAAACATTCGAGTACTTCTTGTAAATCAACCCAAGGGAAATTAATTAATTAATCAATGCTTAGAAAGTGGCCAATCGCTCTAGGCTGTTGATAAAGTTCAGATACCTATATATTAAAAACTTAAAAGATTTAGCCCGGAGAATTAAATGGCTTATTAAGCATGGTAGGTAAAATGACTCGAATAACTTGAAAACATGTTGTTATTGGCATATATTATCATGAATTACGAGATCGTATGCATGGGTTATGTTTCATTGCTTGATTAACTGGCGAGTCGCATGGAATGGAAGCGTTCGGTTTGTCGGTAAATTTAAAGAACGGAAATAAATTACGTATGATTTTGTAAACAGGTTGTAAGGTAAGCTACGTTATATATTCGAAATTTTAACAATGCGTTGAAAATAATGTTAATCTAAAATAGGCATGAGTAACTGGAGGAGGGCATTGCAAAACTGTCAAATTTGTTAAAATGTATCCCACAACAGACCTCGTTGTAATTTGGAAAAAAAAAAACCCCGGCCGTTATGCAGATCTCACTATTACGGCCTATTAACTGGAGAGCGCTATTAGCCGATCTGTTTCACACCGCTTTAGAATAATTACAGAACAATTACAGGGATTTTGAGGACAGGGCAACTCGGATCGAAATCACAAGACAAACGTTTGGCTTACCTGCTGCTACTATACATTTCGATCGAATTAATATCGTCCAGATATTAATAAGTAGAGCCCGGATTCTTATGCAATTGCATTTTTTTTCGGCCTTCTGTCATGGTGATCAGATATTTACCCGAATCATGCCTGTATTGGTTCGGTGGTTAAAATTTTATTCTGCATATTTGAAGAATATTTGCAAAATTGAACATTTTTGATAGTTTAGAAAAATTAAAATAAATTAGGCAACTAAGAACATGGGAAGAAAAAACCATGATCCTAACATTTGATTTGGATTTCAGTTGACTTTCCAGAAATAAAGACGACAAACCGAAACAGTAGAAATCTCTGAATTATTTGCCCCCTTCCCGTTCCAAAATCTCTGGGTGCATTACTTTCTTGCCTTTCCTGACAAATGATTTTAACGAAATATTCAGGTTGTGATAGGAACGAGGCCGCATTTGAAACACAAATAGGCAGTGTCAGTCCTCTTTCATATTTTCAACCTAAACTTCAAAACAGCAAGCTGGATTTTTCTTTTCAACGCAAAACAGAAATTTGTTTATTACAAAATAAA